GTAGGGATAGTGGCGCTGATGTGATGTGTTTACAATTCAACATAATTATAACATTTGAGACGACTCACTGCACGTAATGAAATTCTTAGAATTGGAATAATAACAAAACCGATAACAAAGCTTTTTTGCGTAGTATTGTGTGGCAGTATAACAAAATAACTTGTCCCGGTCAGAGTGTCCGACCAGGCTAAGCTTTTACCTGTCAAAACCTCAAATTTACCAGACAATTGTCTGATGACCGACTGTTATTTGCAGGCTTGCACCATTGAGCAGGTGACGGTTGGAAATGGCTTTGCTGTGATGCAGGCCTTCCTACTTTTCAAATGTAAATTTTCCCATTATCATACTAGCAAGTTTCTAATTTCTATCATCATTAGCTAGTGGGTCAACCCCAGCCTTACTTTTGTACAGAGGCTAGGTTATATTTCACTGAGAACTGGAAAATGGTCTTTTGGAGATCCCTTGAGTGGGCTTGAAAGTTTTTGGATCGCTATAAGCTCGTATATAACAATGCTGAAAGACAGTCTTCCCTGGATTGGTTTTGCCCCTTTTCTAACTGTAACTGAACTTGTATTAAGACAAACCTCTCTTGAAAGTTTAAGTTATTAGGAGTTCTTGAAGTATATTGGTTTGATTTTGTTTCTTCCAATATGTTCAGATCTTGGAGAACAGTTACAGCAGGCCAAGCAGCGTGCAGAACAGTTTAAGTCCATGTTAGAAGCAAATGAGTCATTATTGAGTGACTTAAGCAAGGTAATTTGTTTATTTAAAGACACTAAAAACAGGCAGAAACAGATGATTGCTTAGTTCTTGTACCTTTGTTTTGATATCAAATGATCCAAGTGTCCACTAATCTTGAGTTTGAACGAAAAAAAAAAAAAATCAAATGGACTGCATTTTATTGTGTTTTTTTTTGGAATGGTGAGTCTGGTTTTGAAAATGTATGAATTTTGCTCCTTGCAGTGTAAAGGAACCTAGAATAGAGTATGTAATATTGTGTAGTTCCAGAAAATATTTGTACCCCCTACAGAAGGGATTTTTTCTAAGAATTTCCCAGTCTAACCCTTCTGGAAACTCCAGGTATGTTACTAGGCTTTATTCATTTCTTTATATTTGTGGTCTTACAGAACAACCCACCCCTAAGAAATTCCAATCCCTTCAGTTTGGGAGGGGGGGGGAGTATAGATGTTTTCTGTAACTGCACATGATAATAGAAGCAAATCGAAGATTTTCATAATCTATGCTGTGATTTAAATCCAACTTTTGAGCATAGTCATAAACAACGAAACCTTTTCTTTTCCTTTGTAGACAAGTGATGAATTCAAGGTAACTACAGAGAGTAGACTAAGGGCTGCAGAACAAGATGTCAAGGAATACAAGTCTCAGGTTGCCACCCTTCAAGCCCTGAACCAGGATCTGAACGCAACCAGAGCAAAAGTAACAAGAGAAGCTGAAGCACAGACAAAGAGTTTACGTGACATGTTGAGCAAGGTTAGGGCTGAGTTGGACGAGGCGTTAAAGAAAGCACAGACATCATCTGCTGCTGAAATGACTGCAAAAGAAGAGTTGAAAGAACAAGCTGTCTTGGCTAAGGAGGTGATTGTTATATCAGTATTCTGCAAAGTGCTAGAAAGAGTTTTTTCCCATTAGAGCTATTTTTTAAAAGCAGGATTGCATGTACAAACTGATGTTGAGGTGTACACATCGAGACATGTATGCATGAAGAATCTCAGAATGCCAGGAGCTTGATCAATGTTTGAGTGAGAGGGTGAGAGGTTTTCAAAAACATGCAAATAAATGCTCAGTCAATCCAAAATAAATAAATACTATGATGTTCACAGTTGGTCCGTTTGTCTTGTGTAAGGAACAACAAATACATTGTATCAATTACTTTTTCTTCAACTGCAGTGAATATCATCTGGTTAATGGCAGAACGAGTGCAAATATGCAGCAATATTGAATAGTTTTACTTAGTAATTTGTACAGAAAACCTGTGTGACAGGGTGGCATGGCACCCTCACACAAAACAGTCACACTCTCCCTCTTTTGCTGATAAATTAATTGACTTCAGCAACTGTATAATAAATTTCTTATTCTAAAGATGCTTTTATTTGTACATGTAGTATTGCTGTATAGTTTTAATCCTTTTTTTTTTTTGGAAATTGTACTCTTAAAAGTATTAGAGTATTACTACAGTACCAACCAAAACATCTAATAGGATGCATAATTATACTACATGCCGATATGGAAAGAAGATATCACAAGTTTCTTTCAAGTGTTTGGTTTCTTGGCTTTTGCAATGAAGGGCTCAGCATTTTCTTCCTGTGCCAAAATTCTTAGCTTGTTTTTTTCTTTTTTTTTAATAATACTTTTCTTTACAGGCTCAGGACAAGTATGAGAGGGAACTAGTCCTTCATGCTAATGATGTGCAAGCACTGACAACATTCAAGGAACAGGTACACAGTTACAAATGTAGCTGTTGAGTCATCAGACATGACTTTTTGGGCTTGTTTATGAATTACACATTTCATTATGCTGAATGTTTCAAGATTAGCCAATGCTAGATCTATTAAACATTGTGTATCAAGTTTGGAGAAATCAATATTTTGCTCTTGGGTTTTAAAGGGACAAAATGAAAGGTTGATTACAACACTTTAATGGGCATATGTTGTGTTTGTTGCTGAACACAATTATTTTATTGGGATCCTATCAACAAAGAGAGCTACAATGTACACGTATGTTATGCAGAGTATCGTTGCCTGATTATTTACATGTATGCATATAACTGCCACTTATGAGTGATGCCTCTGAGGTCCTCTTAGATATGACTTAGAGGTTCCCTGAGGAATACCGGTCCTGTTCTGATATTTGGAACTAAAAGAACACCAATTTACGTTTGTATTTATTTGCTTGTTTGTCAAGTTCCAAGAACAAAGCGGTAGATTCAAGGAGATAGAAGATCGTGCTCTGGCTGCTGAACAACAACTGCAAGAATACACTAGCTCTTGGGAAGATCAGAAAAAGGCAAAGGCAGCAGAAGCAAAGAAACTAGAAGCTCGCTGTGCTGACCTTGTCAACCAGAACTCCACACTGCATAGCCAGCTAGAAAAGGTTGGTATTAATTCACAATAAGGTAAAGCCACTTTGATGAGCAAAGTTAAACTCAAGCTAATGCTGGCCAGCTGTCTATCTGTTATGTGGGAGGTACCAGGAGGAGTTCTAGGAGCAATACCATGTGCTTTGCTTGTGGTGTATGGCTCGCATGCTTGTTTGTTTTGGCTTAGAGTTTAATTGCACTTTAACTTTGCCTTAGAAAGATTTTGAATTGTATTTAAATTTTTCATTTGCCATCCAAGGCAAACAGATAATGTTTTAGCTTTAGTAAAATTATGTAAAGAATTTATTTTAGATTTATAACTGTGAAGTAATTGAAGCATTTTCCCCCTCTACCATTTTCTAGCTCAGTGCCCAGCTTGCTGCTAGTAAACAGTCATCAGTTAACATTCCCTTGCCCCCCAAAGAGGGTGTGGCATCTGAAGGAGGTGAAGAATCTACCAAGACTGTAGAGGAACTCTGGGAGATCATCAGGTATGTTAGCTAACTTTTAGGTGTTTTCTATAGTTCTGTGTACCTTGTAGTTCCTTTCACCATGTGAATGAAATACGTATCAATGAGGAATTCCAATGGGTTAACAGATAAGGGTCTCACAATATTGTCAGAGGCTCTCTACTGATTTGCCAGGCTAGGTTCCCAACCTGATCATGCTTTTTACTACACTATTGCTCTTGTTGTTAGTAATCTTGTTGTTGTACAGCATGGAAGGAAAGTAGTGTCTGATAGCTAGGGGCTAGTGGATTTTTGCAGTTACATGTATGCTGTCAGGCTAGATGAATCTGTCACTTGCCTGATGGGTGAATGAATTTTCTCAGGAATTGTTTTGAGGAATTTAAAGTACAGGTTGAAAGTGGTTTAAGAGATGAAATGTTGTGGGGGGTGGAGGTGGGGGCTAGTGAGCTGGACTTTCATGCTAGTACATCATACAAGTAGAACTTTACAGGATGCCTTCAGGAAGGGAAAGCTTGAAAATTGAGAATCAAAGCTTTGTCAATTTTGGCTGTAGTCAATATTATTCACTCTGGCTTGCATGAGTACATATAACACTTAAATGAAGAAGCACCACTTCTAACCCTTTGGTGTCCATATGAAAGAGGTTTGAATGTATTAATTTTAATCTCGTTGGTGTACATGTAGGTATTCTTACTAGCTCTTTGGTGTTTGTTGAAGGTTTGTCCGCAGAGAAAAGGAAATTTCTGAAACAAAGTGTGAATCAGCACAGTCAGAAAGCATGCGCTACCAACAGCGATGTGAATACTTGCAAGGTCAGATAGAGGACCTCCAGAAGAATATAACAGAGGAACAAACACAGTCCAATATCAACACTCAGACAGCTGCTCAGCACCAAGAGGTCATGGAGAAAGTTCAGAAGCTGAATGAACTTACTGAGGCTAACAAAATACTGGAAAATGAAAAGGAAAGTGCTGAGAAGACAGTTAGAGAGCTTGTGGCAAAGGTATGGTATGGGTTCTAGGTATTTTCGAAAAAACCTATGTTGCAACAAATTGACAAGGGTCAAATTGAGGAGCAATGTCTGTCATGGGTAAGATCTTGCATTAACTCTTTTCTGTTTTGTTTCTTTGTCTTTTTTTCCTTTTCTTTTCCCCTTAGAAATACAGTACAGCTACTTAAATGTCGAAACACAGAATAACGAAACAAATGAAAAGACTTGTGGCTTTACCTGATTGCACTGAATCTTCTCTCAAATTTTAACTACTTTAAAAACTAAGTATTGAAATTGTAGATTCTTGATTGTTATACTCTTAATAATAATTATTATTTTTAGGCTGTCAGCCCCATTTTCTGCATAGAGATAGTAAACTTGTTTGTAGCTTGTTAACACTCATAGAAAACTTGTAGCTTGTTGTTTAACACTAACTATTGAGAGAATCAATCAGATTTGCAATAGAAGTGTCTGCAAAAAATGTGAAGGCCTTGGAAATATGTGATCAGTTGCAAAACATGATTTATGAATTTGCTGTTGACTGATCACAACCATTGTTGTGGGTTCTTCCTCAGGTTCAGGAACTGGAGGGAGATATGAAACCTCTGAGGGATGGTATGCAATCACTCACATCTCAAAAAGACGCATTGCTAGCCGAAAAAACTGCCCTGAAAAATGAGGTAATTAAAGTTATTAAAGTAATTAAAGTATAGGTAATTAAATTAGGAAGTATGAGTTCTGAGGCTAGGCCTTAATGTTGAATGGTACGAACTTTTGCCATGTTGCATAATGCAAGGAATACTCCATAGAAACTTGTCACTTGAAAATGCAATTAAGTCCAGCAGAA